AAATATTTAACTCTTTTTAATTAGTTGCCACAATTTTAAAATCATAAATTTTCATCAGAATGTCCAAATATGAGGATTCTTTTAAAATATCTGAAGATCTGGCAACAGTTGTCCAGCATTCCCACATGTACCCTCTGAAGTCCCCACCCACTGCCCCAGCAGTGCCACATCAACTACATCATTCATTCACATGAGCTGTCTGGCTCTTACAGACACTGTAGTGAGTGACCCTGCTTTATGCGTTCAACTGGTAAGCCTCTAGCACCCTGAGGCAACTCACACAGGCTTGGAGGATTGATTTACAAAATATCTGCATATTTAACAGCTCATACCTTATATATCTGTGTGTTCTACTTACTTCTCCCTTGCAGTAGGAAAGTAGCAGAGTTTTTTATATAATTCTTTTTATTGATTTCACTTAAAATTAAATGCATTATTTGTTAAACAAAGACTGTAAACAAATTTTGCCATGACCATTATATATAATATACACGAGTTGTTAGTAAGAGTTGACTCCCTCTACCTTTTAAAACAAATACAGGTATCAAAACATTCCTGTACTGTAGGTATTTTTTATACTAGGACTCAGTACCCACGCTTCTTCAAAAATGACCTACCACAAGAAACAGGAAAAATCTCAAAAAAAACAATCTAACTTTCCACTTAACAGGACTAGAAAAAGAACAACAAACGAAGCCCAAAGTGAGAAGAAAGGAATTAGTAAAGATGAGAGCAGAAATAAACAAAATAGAATCTAAAAGAACAATACAAAAGATCAATGAGACCAACAGCTGGTTCTTTGAAAAGATAAACAGGATTGACAAATTTTTAATCAGACTCACCAAGAAAAAAAGAGAGAGGACTCAAATAAAATCAGAAATGAAGAAGTAACAGCTGACACCACAGAAATACAAAGGATTGTTAAGAAAACACTACGAACACCTATATGTCAACAAGTTGGACAATCCACAGGAAATGTATAATATCCTAAAAACATGCACTTTTCTGAAACTGAATCAGGAAGGATCAGAAAATCTAGACACACAGATTACAACCAGTGAAACTGAAGCGATAATTAAAAAAAAACAAACTCCCAACAAACAAAAATCGTGGACTGAATGGCTTCACAGGTGAATTTTACCAAAGTTTCAGAGAACTAACACCTTATTCCAAAAAATTCAAGATTGGGAAAGACTCCCAAGTTCATTTTTCAGGGCCAGCATTATCTTAATTTCAAAACCAGATAAAGACACTACAAAAAAAGAAAATTATAGGCCAATATCCCTGATGAACATAGACGCTAAAATCCTCAGCACAATAGTAGCAAACCAGATCCAGCAATACATTAAAAAGGTGATCATGTGAGATTTATTCAGGGGATGCAAGATTGGTACAATATCTGCAAATTAATAAACATGTTACACTGTATCAACAAAATGAAGGATAAAAATGAGCACAATCAACAATAGTATTCATTGTATTTTCAACTTTAAACAAGTATACTTGTCATAGTACCTAATACATTTCTTACTATGGCTCACTATCAAAAAAGTTCAAAAACCACAGTTTCATCTCATTTAACCTTTCCCCAGACTCAATGGATGCAGTGTGGGTCTTTGGAAGAAAAGGGAAGTCTCCACAGGAATTGAAGTCTCACATAACTTTTGCTTGTTAGATGTTAAAAAATGCAAAAAAAAAAAAAAAAGGAATGGGTGGGCACTCATGGTTGCTAGGTCACTAAGGACAAGTTATGAAAACAAAATATAAAGACCAAAATTAGAATGTGGACCTAAATATACAGAAGCCTCTCTTTTGGTTAGCTTTGCAACAAAAATTAATATGAAAAACAATAATTCCAGTAAAATAGTGGATACACTAAACATAGTGGTATTAGCAAAATTCATTAGACTTAAAAGTTGTCCTTCAAGAGTTAAGATATGTAATGCTGTTTAAAATATGTGTAAAGTCATCACAAGGACATATTACAATTAATTTTAGTGGATCTTAGACTTGTCTTAAGTCAAAAGCATTCTACTCATATTGATGTCTAATGATCTTAATTCAAAATGTTCACACATTAAATAATTCTAGATAGTAAATGCACCCTGGAGATTTACAAAAATATATGTAAAATATGTATAGTCATTATGTGGTTAGACAATGGGAAGAAAAATGCTATGCAATTTTTTTCTCATCAAAAAGCTTTAATTTAAACATAAACCTGGAATACTCAAAATGGGTTTACAAGTTTAAGGCATGGCAAGAAGTGTCCAGATTTCTGTGGATGTTTTCAAAAGCTAATCTTAAGAATTACAGCTACATGCAAAAAATTGAAATTCGACCACCAACTGACACCATACACAAAAATAAACTCAAGATGGATAAAAGACTTAAATATAAGTTGCAACACCATAAAAGTCCTAGAGGAGAACATAGGCAGGAAACTCTCGGATATCCCATGCAGCAATATTTTCACCAATATGTCCCCTAAAGCAAGGGGCATAAAGGAAAGAATAAACCAGTGGGACTTCATCAAAATAGGAAGCTTCTGCACGGCTAAAGAACACATCAGTAACATGAAAAGAAAACTGACCATATGGGAAATATATTTGCCAATGATACATCAGATAAGGGTTTGATCTCCAAAATATATAAAAAACTCACATGACTCCACTCCAAGAAGACAGACAACCCAATTAAAAAATGGGCAAAGGACCTGGACAGACACTTCTCCAAGGAAGAGATAGAGAGGGCACAGAGGCATTTGAAAGGATGCTCAGCATCACTAGCCATCAGAGAAATGCAAATTAGAACCACCATGAGGTACCACCTCACACCGGTCAGAATGGCCATCATAAACAGATCAACAAACAACGGGTGCTGGCGAGGCTGTGGAGAAAAGGGAACCCCTAGTCCACTGTTGGTAGGAATGCAGACTGGTGCAGCCACTATAGAAAACAGTTTGGAATTTCCTCAAAAAGCTAAAAACGGAACTGCCTTTTGACCCAGCAATTCCACTACTGGGGTTATACCCTAAGAATCCCAAAACACCAATTCAAAAGAACCTAAGCACCCCAGTGCTCACAGCAGCACGATTTACAATAGCCAAGTGCTGGGAACAGCCTAAGTGTCCAACAGTAAATGAGTGGATCAAAAAACTATGGTACATTTACATAATGTAATAGTACATAGCAGAAAGAAAGAAAGAAAGAGAGAGAGAGGAAGGAAGGAAGGAAAAGAAAGTAGGAAGGAAGGAAAAGAAAGTAGGAAGGAAGGAAGGAAGGAAAGAAAGAAAGAAAGGAAGGAAGGAAGGAAGGAAGGAAGAAAGAAAGAAAGAAAGAAAGAAAGAAAGAAAGAAAGAAAGAAAGAAAGAAAGAAAGAAAGAAAGAAAGAAAGAAAGAAAGAAAGAAAGAAAGAAAAAGAGAAAGGAAGGAAGGAAGGAAGAGAGAGAGAAAGAAAGAGAAAGAAAGAAAGAACGAGCTACTACCCTTTGCAACAGCATGGATGGAACTGGAAGCATTATGCTAAGTGAAATAATCCAGGGGGCGAAAGACAAATACAATATGATCTCACCTATAAGTGGAACCTAACCAACAAAACAAACAAGCAAGGAAAATATAACCAGCAACATTGAAAGAAAAAAGAAACCCACAGAACCAAGAGGGAAGGGGGGAGCAGGGAAGGGAAGGGAAGGGTCAGGTCAAGGAACATGTATGGAGGACCCATGGACAAAGCCAAAGTGGGAAACTAGGTGGGGGGAGGGGACAGGGGAACATGATGGCAGGAAGGTGGAGACAACGGTATTTGAACAATAAAAAAAAAGAACGAAATAAACTGTGAATGGCATGCTTTATGCATCTTGCTTAATAAAACAACTGCAGATGAAATTGTTTAAAGTAGAAGGTACAATGAGTACTATTGCTAATTATGTTAATTTTCATAGAAACACAGGTGCTGACTGCTATAGCATCAAAAATATGCACAGAATTGTTTTAATAACTTTCCGCTCCCTGGAGAAAAGCACTATTCAATTTGCAGTCATAACTGATTTGCCTAGACATTATCTAAAGACTGACACATTCACCCTCATGTGACTATCCCTTGAAACCCTGGTGAGGCTCCCCCAGAGCCAGGCTGGGACAGCTTCACCATAGCTGACCCCAGGCCAGTGCTGCCCAGGGCCCAGATATGAGCGAGGGTCTGTGCAAGGGAAGGCTGGTATTTCATGAGGAACAAGGGCTTGGGGCAACTGATCATTTGCTCCAAACTGGGTGAGTCCAGGTTCCAAAAGCAAAGGGGTATTGCATGTCCTACTTCATGTTTTACTAGATGCAAATGTAGTTTCTGAGAAGTGTGCAAGTGTATGAAAGGAAATAAATGGATTCTAGGCTCCACCCCAAAAAAGAAGAGATGGGGAGGAGATAAAATGGCTGTTCAAGTCAGCTGTTATATATTCCATATAACAGATTTGATAAATATTTACAATTTTTAACAAGTCATGTGTTTAAGTAGAAATGAAACCAACAAAAATAAAACAGGCATGTGGATATGTGATTTTTAAATTAAAGTTAGTCTTAAAATTCAAATAAAATATGGAGAATGGCCTGGAGGGGAACAGTCTTCTGTGGGATGTATTTTTAGCCTTGTTTACAAAAAGAGAAAACTGAGGTACAGAGAAGTTAAGGAATTCACCCAAATTTGACACATGGTAGCTAAGTTGCAGAGCCAGCATTTGAGCCTAGATCTCTGTTCCCAGTGTCCTGCTCTTTCTATTGCTCGTAACTGTCATAATAGGCTACTAAAATGGATAACTTGAGAATGCTGCTTAGTACTTGCTGTGCCTCAGGACAACTGCAATGGAATCTCTCTTTTTTTTTTTTGGCAGAATTTTATGATTTTATTAACACAGATACAATGTGTACACAATCTGTCTATTCGTTTTCCTCACTGTGCAGCCTGGCATTGGGATTGGTGGCTTTGATGGGCGGCTGGACTGCTCTTTACACAATGGCTTTGCAGTTCTGTGAGGAGACGTTGTGCGCAACCCTGGCACAGTAAGATTTGTTGCACATCAGCAGCACTTTAAGCTCCTTGACGTTGTGGACCAGGAACTTCCCAAAGCCACTGAGCAGCATGGGCTTTGTTTTCTCATTGCTCCCGTAACTTATACTGAGCATCAAGATCTGGCCCTTGAATCTTTTGCGTACCCTATTGTCAACACCTCTCCGTTTCCACCCATTCCACCTAATTTTGACATATAGGTCTGACTGGGGCCAGATGAACTTCTTGGTCCTCTTTTTGACAGTCTTGGGTTTCACAAGGGGTCTGAGGGCAGCCATGGTGCCGTGTAAAGATGGCTGCCACCTCTGTAGGCAGCGCTGAGAAAAAGAGCTGCAATGGAGTGTTCATCTCCCTCCTTCTCTCTTTATTGTCTCCTCCTAGGCAACCAGTGCACTTACCCAATTCCCACAATACCCATTAGCTCAAAGCCACCCATTTAAATATTCAATTCCATTTCCCTTCCCCTCCCTCTAAGGAGTCTACTCCATCCAGGCTATTTACTGCCCACACATGTAACCCTTCTCCAGGCTCCAGACATTTCTTCTACCTGAAAAGAATGCCAGCTGACTCCTTCCTCACACAGCCATTCAAATCACAGGCTTTGGGGTCAAAGACGTACATCCAGGCTCACCTTCTCCCTGGAACCCTATATGCCTAACTGCAGTCCATGCTGCCCCTCTTTCTGTTCTACCCTAGCACCCCCAAGCTGAATGATTTCTGTGCCACCTTACACTGTCTCTAGGCAGCAGCTGGTCATGTGTGTGATTTTCTCAGCAGGATATTATAAGTTCCTTCCCAGGTCCAGGCTACTGATTTTTTTTGTATTCTTTTATTTCAAAGTCACCACAACATCAGAGAAGCTCAATAAATATGTATGGGTTGGGGTTTCTTTTTTCTTTTTCTTTCCTTTTTTTTTTTTTTTTTTTTTTTTTTTTGACAGCTGTGTTTCTGGGGAAAAGAGAAAGAGCAAGAAAGGAGGGAACAGAAGGAGGAAGGTTACTTTCTGACCATTCTCAACAGTACACAAAGGCCTGAGAAGGGGAAATTATGGGGATTTTGAATAAATGGGAACCTACAGAACTCAAGAATTGTGTTTATGTTATTGGACCCACCCAACATGGTATAGGACAAAGTTTTCAAAAATATGCATTAAGAGATCATAGCTGTATTTAAAAAAAGGCATTTTATGTCAAATAAATTTATGTAATTAATACTTGTAAAATGACATTAAATAGTCTCTGCTGTAGGAGTTCTAGATTTTGTCCGTTACAAATCACTGCAAAGAAGCTACATATTTAACATTTTCCAAACTTGTTTGACCACAGAATTCTTTTGGTAAGGAGAATCTTGTAGGAATAATGTTTATTTGAACATTCTTTGGGAAATGTTGGAATGATCCTCCCAGCTAATTCACAGTAAGTGAATTCTTTCATTGACCAACATATCTTGTACATATTTTTCATACAGTGACTTGGCGTGATTGATTTTTCACTCATATGCAGCCCAAAACTGGTTGATATTAGCAGCCCAATGATGATGACAGGAAGATCGTAATTGGTTTCGGATTGAGAGCCTGTGAGAGAGGAAGGAACCTCTCACGTAGTAAATGCCTTTTTGCGGAAAAAGTTATTTAAACACCCTTGTAAGGTGTTCTCCAACTGGCAGTGGCACATGTTTGCCCTCTTTCTCAGATGTCTCCTCTTTCTCTTCACTTACTTAACTGTTTAATTCATCCTTGGAGACTTGAGGCTGACATGCCTTCTTTCAGAGAGCTTTCCCAGATCTCTCCCAGGCTGTGGTAGGTCACACTCCCATCCCCTTTCTCTGCCTTGTGCTTACTATACATACTGCCTAGTTTTAGTGGACCAGTTACACACATACCATTTCAAAATTGTCTTCCTTGTTGGACCATGAGCTTCTTGAAACCCAAAGTTTTTCCTTCCCTTTTGCATACTCGACACCTAGCACATAGCAGGCATTTAGTAAAAGCAGATCATCATAAGCAGGAGAATGGAAACCCTGAGAGTAGACAAGAGCTTTCAACTACTTTGTTCATTGTGAAACTCCATCATCTATTGCAGTACCTGGAAAAGAATCTATTAGGGGAGCAATGCAAGGTTATTTAACTCATGGTCTCTCTCTTAAACTACAATAATCTACAAGGTACTTTTTATGGTACCTAATCTACAGGTGAAGAAATGAAGATTTAAGAAGGATTAGGTGATTTGGCAGGAATTATGGCTTATATGTAGTAGAATAGAGATTGGAACTTCCTTCTGCTCTTCCAGTTTCAGTCAAGGGACATTGCTGCTTATAGTAGAACATGGGTCATATGTAGTCTCCGTCTTTAATCGTCTGACTAAACTTGGCTCAAACCCCAATTCCTTGGACAAAGCCCTCCCTATTCTTACAATGAGTTCCACAAGCTTTCAAGCTTTTTCCTTTTTCTTTGCCTCCCCTCCTCAGTGTCAGTTTAGGTTGACAGTTCAGTTTAGGCCAGTCTGGCCTTTGAGCTCAGTCCCTTCACTGGGTTAAAACAAAACAAAACAAAGTAAATCTCTTTATCTGAGCATTTTATGCCTTCAGCAACTTTACTAAAAATTGGAGGGAAAGGGAGATTTACTGTATTTTTGCCATGTATAATATGCTCCCATGTATAATGTGTACCCACATTTTTGGCCCAAACTATCAGGAAAAAAAAATCTTTCATTTTAATTTTCAAATTCAACTTTTTATTTACTTATATATAGAAACAAAACCAATTATCATATTCCAGGGTATTATTTTGCATATGGATGTCATTATGCAAAGTATAATGCATAAGCATAAATAAAAGAATTAAAAACGTTTATATAGATACAGAATTAGTACCACCCATGTATAATGCACAGCCTTATTTTTCCCTCGAAAATTTGGGCATAAAAGTGTGCATTATACATGGCAAAGTACAGTATAGGGTGGATTACCCTGTAGACCAAGTTGACTCCTTATACACACACGCACATACTCCTGAAGCAACTAGCATGTTCGTGCCCTCTCCTCTGAAGGATCACAGGTTAGTTCGACCCAAACCAGGGCTTCTTAAAGTTTTGCCTTCTTTTTGCATAGCTTTATCAAATACTTTCTTGTAGGCAGGCTCTCCTTAAAAGAATATCTGGTGAAAACAGTTATGACAAATACAGTAAGATTAAAATTTCAGTAGTTAGAAGGCTGTAGTTTTTAAGAGCAAGAAGTCTGTCCCCTCACAAGTCACACTGGGAAGTCCTTTTCTGTTCATGTCTGACATATCCTGTGATTGTATGCCTATGTAGAATTTTAATTCTGAAATTGTCTTAGATAAGAATTAACATCAGAAAAACAAATGTTCTGTAAATTATTAATTTTATTCTACCAATAGTATGGCCAAAGATAATGGTCTCATTGACTTTAGCCTTGCCTACTTCAATCCCATTTATTACAGAGCTCTAGAATTTTTCCATGTAAATAAGATCAGATCCCATATCACACAGTACTTTGAATCACTCAGTGGTTCCTACTCTTGAAGGTTTGGTCCAAAGTCCCTACCTGCAGATGCCTGATGAGACTTCCATGGCCAGTGTCTGTGGATTTCTCCAGCCTCTTTCCTCCTAAGTAAGGCCCTGTTCATGGTAGTTCCTTTCTCCACAAAGACATGCACACACATGTTATTGAATATAGGCCCATATGTTTGCTCATGTTGTTTTTTTCTTAAAAATCCTTCTCACCCTCTTATCTCCTGTTTCATTCTTTAGGATTCAGCCTTGTCCCAGTCTACCTCGGTCCCAGTCTGACGTAAATAGCTCTCTTTTTCTCCCATAGCCTTTGTGTTTCTTCCTTTCAGAATATATAGCACGCTGAAATTCACTCCACTACTGGACTTTAGGGTTTCCTTGAGTAAGGGACATGCTCTTTTAATCATCTTGTTTTTACAGACTCTATTAAGTACATGACACATAGTTAGTGCTAAATAAAGTACTGATGCTACTAGAAGGTGACTTACTGATGGTACTAGAAGTCACTGAAACCCAATCTTGTATGTATTGCATTTTTTAAAGTTCTACTAGAGCCTTAGGCAGAGCACTAGAAAAAAAATCATAGATAGTGAGAAGATTAAAGGGAAAAAACCTCACAAAATTACGCACATCTTCCCTTTGGAGGGTTTTTGAAGTACGAAGTGAAATTTTATATGTTTCATAAGATTTTAAAATATTTCAAAACAGAACTTTGATGCCAGGAATACACTTGGACATGAGAGCAGCTTGCCACTGGCAAGCTCTGCTTAAACCTGTTACATATACACACTGAAAGCAAATCCAACTCCTTCATGTATTTCCCATCAGATAAAATGCACAGAAGGAAAAAAATGTCAGCAAAAGTTAGAGCTAGCCTGCCCAGACCTTCTACTGTACTGAACTCAGGGAGTGACTAGCTTGAAGCAATACATGGTGGAATATCAATCATTTTTCTCCAGTTCTGCCTACTTCAGACGCAGTTGACTCCATTGACTGTATCCTTAGGAACAAAGAAGAAATTTTGGTAAGAATTAGGAGGGAAGAAGTTGGAATTGGTTAGGAAGATATATAAGTGTTTGCTCTTAGGAGTTGTTTAGTGGGTTTTTGTTTTTGTTTTTTAATTTTAAGAAAAATCTAAATCAACTGTTATATTTATTTTTAAGTAAGTATAAGCAAATGGTGTTCATATTAAGTGATTTTTTTTGACCTGTTCTCTTCATTTATACCAATAGGTCTATCTAGAAATTATGACAAACTTATACAGACCTTTAGTCACTCAAGTGTTAGCGCAGAAACCAACATTCACACAGTTACACATCACGTCGTGTAGATCCTTTTACTTCAATGGTCAACATTGCTTAAGTTGTGGGTAAGAGTAATTGCTAAACATTTCACAAGAGAACGACCTCAACCCCTAGCTAACTGCTGTGGCTCTGAGGTGATTACTTTTTGTCTTTGCGAAGGGAAGCTGCTGCTTCAGCATCTTCTCCTGGAGCCCTTGGCACCATTTCAGGCCATGTGTCAGGGGAACCCTTGATCACATCACAGTGACGGAAGCCAAGCGCTGGCCTGCAAGAATTGAGAACTGTTTGTTCGCAGAAGATCCTGGGTAAAACCACGGGTGTTACTTAGTTCAAGGGTGCCTTGAAGAAAACCAGTGCCTCCGTGGGATGGGACTTCCAAAGGCTCAAGATATTTCTTAGTTGCTGTTTGATAACTCTCTCCTAACTTTTATGGAATTTCATCAACAGTGTTGATTGGGAGTTTTTCTCCCTGTAGTTCCTTGATTTAGCAAGATTTGGGACAGTTAAATAGAAGATTTTTCATACATTTTCAGGTAGTGCAACAGTGAATATTACTCTCTGGGGAGAGAAGTATTTTATTCATGAATACAGTTTGTGTTTTGGGTAAAATCCAAAATTACGTGAACTCACTGCTTTTGTCCTGCTGTTGATGATATTTACGTGTGTTGTTTAGTGTGGTGATTCAGTTTCCTGTAAGATAGCTGACAATTCCACACAGAGGTTTTTTAGTAGGCTTGAAATGTTCTTAGAACATTTGGGGTTAAAATTCCTAAAAGTTAAGCTTTAATAATGATCCTGAAAAACTGTGGTTAGCCATATTGCCTATAAACCTAGGAATTTGGAAAAAGTAGTATTAGCTCTAAGCTAATATCAACAATAATTCTTTATTTGAGAAGTTTTTTTTTCAACAAACCATTCTTTACTCTGTTATGAGTAATTATTTTCTTACTTATTGATAAGTAGATATGCTGTATTCATTTTTTTCATCCTCCAGATTTATACTGTACATGCAGAAAATGTTAGGACTGAAAATACATCTACATACCACATTGTGATTGCACTCAAATGTTGATTGTTAAATAGCTTATCTGTTTGGACATAAAGTAGATCTTCTGAAATAAATTGTCCCTCTTATCCCTGTACTGCCTTCTTAAGAATGAATCTTGTCTTTAAGTGCATAATGTTTTGAAGCATTGGAGCTTTCCTGAATTACATTTCTATTACAATTAAAAAATAAACACTGAAGTATAATATATGGTGCCCCATCCTGTTAGACGCAAGGCCGGCATTTCTGAAAAGCTTTGGTGAAGATGGGAGGGGATTATTTACCTCAGACTTTGGAAGAATTGGAGTTCAGGGCAGAGGAGCATGAAAAGCTAAGTCTTAGCCATGTGGAGAGGGGATTCCGGGCTTCTGATGTAACCAGTGACTGGAAAGAGCACAGTGAAAAAAATCCTAGACGCAATGGTTTTGCATCCTAAACCCATTGGATGTGCGAATGATGGACGAATGACCCAAAATAAGTCAGTTTCTTAAAATGTCCTATATCCCTGTTTTATACAGTAGAGAGATGGCAAAAGCAAAACAAAACCACACGGCTGATGTACTACCATCACAAGCAGATACTGCTCTGCTTACAGCTAGAAGATATGAAGTACAATGAAAATGCGTTATGGTCATAGGCTTAATTCTTGTTTATGCCCTTAAGGCTATGGGATTGCAAGGGACTTTCTACATTACATCTCTGTGTAGTGTTTCAATTTTTATAACAAGCATGTTATATTTTTATGCTCTTTTAATCAGGGCAAAGCTATACAGATAAAATATACTTACTATTTAAAATTATCAAGGTTGTTCCTTTTGTTAGGGATAAAAGCTCCAGTCTTACACTTTATAACTCACGTGGCAATGTTTAGGCAGTTGTTTGTTCACCTCAAGTACATAGTTACAGAGATTTGGTGGTGCGAGCAGGGCAGGGGGGAACCCAGTATAATGAAAGAGGCAAATTTTAACCTAGAGGTCTCTAATCTAAGTGAATAGCAACAGTTCAAGAATTGTTGATATCAATGAGCCACGTGGTACATGTAACATACACCTGGAAAGTTATTCTGACTTTTACAAATGTTGTATAGAAACCTATTGGGAAAATCCCAAGAGGCTGAGATTCAGTCCATGAAATCCTTTTGATGTGCCACTAATCATTTATAGAACCTAAATTTCAAGGGCAGAATTTCTTCTCCTTTAATACCTGTAGATTCCAAAACAAACAAAAACCATCTCAGCAACTTCATGTAAGCTTTCAATGTGTTCTTTCTAATTGAAAATAACAAAGCTTTATAAGGTGGACTCTTGGGAGTTTGGATTTTTCCCCCTCTAAGAGGTTTGCTCATCCACATGCTAATGTAGTGAAGTTCTCTGCAATTGATCTGCTTACAGAGAGTGCCCATGGTCCCCAGGGTCAGCTTTTGTAAATAAAACCGGCTTTCATATGAAGCCTTTGGATATGATCTTTTCATTTTCTCACGTTTGTAGTTTATTCTGTGCGTGGTGAATAAAAAAACCCTTCCAGACTTTTTCCCTTGGCATCACAAGACCATCCTGGTCTCTGATTTGCAATTCCACAGACGACTGGAGCACGTATGCGGGGCTTGTGTTACTTGCCCACACCATGTGATGCATTCACATTGCTGTTGCTTCAAGAAAACTTCTTAGACCATTCTGAATATGCATTACAACACATGATCAAATCTGAGACTTCTAGAGTTCCGACTCACAACATTGCATGTTTTTGTTTGCTTGTTTATGCCCACCCCCAGATTTAGTCTGGTATTTAGCAAGGACTGGGTACTGAAAGAGTCTAGTCTTAATAGAAATGCTTTTATTCCCACAACCACCCTGTCCCCCTTGAAATAGGTAAATCCTAAACCCTCAAAAGAAGGCTCTAAAGCCCTAAAACCCCAACCCCCAGAAACGGTTGCGTGGGTCCTAAATAACCTTGTTTGTGCAGCCCGTTGGGCCCTCCCGCGAAACCTCCCGGAAAGCAGCCAGTCGTGGAGACAAGCCTCTGGCAATGCCAGCGACCGGGGAGGCTCAGCGGCTCCGCGGGGCGCTGGGAGTCCCCTTGGGGCAGGTGCGCGGCCGCGCGTGCGCGCCGGGGCCCGCTGGAGCCCCGCGGCAGGCGCGACCCGGAGCGGCGGGCGGGCAGCGGACGCTCCACGCCGGGTTTTCCGCCGCTCCCCTCGCCCAGACCCACAACAGCCCCATAGTCACACTCGCTCGCACCGCGCCTCTCCGGCTTGGCTTCAAAGCGAGCGGCGCCTGGCTGAGCGGAGTGATGCCTCGGAGAGGCGGCGGGGCGGCTGGGGCAGAGGCTGCGGGAAGGGACTCGGCGGGGGGCCGGGGCAGGCTTTGGCAATTCGGAATCTTTTTGTAAAGGAGTTGTGGAGGGGCCAGGCACGCCGAGGGCAGAGAGGGGCGTGAAGGGGAGTGTTCCCGGAAAGCCGCGGCGATGGAGCGGCGCTGCGCCCGCCGCCCGAGGAGTTGAGAAAGAAAACAGGAAACGTGGTGGCCGCGCACCCGGCCGCGGCTGATTCATTCGCTTTGAGTGAAGGCTCAGCAGGCGGGGCGGGCGCGGAGACGCGGCTCGGGGCCGGCCACCTGGGAGCTCGGGCGGTGGACCAGACGCTCCCTCCGCGGGGCGGGCTCCGAGGCTGCACGCCCCTCCCCCTTCGTCATCCTCAAGGACTAGGACTCTAGCCCGCCGCACCGTCTCAAAGTCGCATCGTGTCTTTTTTGTCCGTGTCTCCGTGTAAAAGTTGGCTTGCCGCACTTTGCGCGCCCTCCCTGGACGCTGAACTAAAACGCCAAGCTGGAGAGACCGTGCTTTCCCGAGGCCGGCTGCCCCGCTAGCAGAGCCTCGGCCCCCCTCGCGGTGCCTGGCTCGGCAATATGAAGGAGCAGCCCTCATGTGCGGGCACCGGGCATCCCAGCATGGCGGGGTACGGCAGGATGGCCCCCTTTGAACTCGCTGGCAGCCCCGTGAAGCGCTTGAGAACTGAGTCCCCCTTTCCCTATCTCTTCGCAGAGGAGGCTTACCAGAAACTGGCCAGCGAGACCCTGGAGGAGCTGGACTGGTGTCTGGACCAGCTAGAGACCCTGCAGACCAGGCACTCTGTCAGTGAGATGGCCTCCAACAAGGTAAGCCCCTGCTCTGCTCTGCTCTCACCGCGGCCCCTAGGCTGTTGACTCCCACGCTGGTGAAGCCACCAGCCCCCGTGGACCCGGGAAATCCATAGAGATTGGTCACACTTAGCGCATGTTGGCGATTCTGCTCCCTCCGAGGGAGGTTCCTGATTCTGTGCCTTCCCTCTGCCCTCCACTCACCCCAGATAAATTGAACATTTTGCAAAAGTAGCTTTGACATAGTTTGATTACGGTACCTCCAGGGCACAGTGGTTTTGGGGAGGTGGCAAAGTGACACTTTGCCCTTGCAGCAGAAATCCAGTCCAGTCCATTGGCATTGCATGTTTAAGGGTGTTCCTGGGATTCCCAGTTGGAAAGAAGAGTTGCTGGAGGTCAAGGCAATGTCTTGGGTGTCACCACCTACCCTCATTCAAACTGAACTTGGAACCTTAGCCCTCATCTATCTAGGTGTCAGGGTATCCTGTAAAAATTGAGCCTTTGTATGTTCACTTGGCCAAGCCTGTCCAGTGGAAACGTCAGCAAAGTTAGAAAATTCATTGTGATCTTTACCTTTGTTCTTTTGAGTCTTGGATGCTCCACTGAGGGCATTGGTGCCATATATGCCAGAGTGCTGACGAGTAACCTTCAGCCTGACACAGCTGTAAAGCAAATAGGGTGTTATCTGTTTTGCTGTATTTTTTGGAATTCCTGTTTTTTGTTTTTAGTTGTGTAAGGAAATAATTGATTATGTACGTTTTTCTGAGTCTTGACTGAGGAAATAGGAAAGAAGACATACCCATGTTGGATGCAAATGGCTGAAGGATTCAGCCAGTAAGGACTAGTAGCTCTGTGTCAATTAGTAGCAATTGCCTCTTAAAGATACTTAATTTTTGGCTACCTGTTTACAAGGTCGGTGAGGTTATACCATTTTACTGTTTATGTGCACATATTTTTCAAAGACTGATCCTTTTTATCTTTAGTTTACTGTAGTTTTTATCCCACCTGTTTTTTACTCATGCAGTTTTTAAAAATGCCATTGTGTATCAGCCACTTGTCTTATCTGTAGACAGCATTGTTTTTAAGTGAAACATTACCTTCAGATAAATTAAGGGACTCTGCAGTCACGGTCTGCAGGCACTAACCTACCCATCAGCACTCTGACCTACTCATAGGAACACTAGTGATCAAATCTGAATTTTATTTTGTCATTTGGGCCCCCATATGTAAGTCTGGTATGGGGCCTCATCAAAATGATTGGTTATTGCTCTCCTACTCCCTGATGTGGTATTAGGTGCTATTGTTCTCTTCTGACTAACAAATTCTTAGTTCACTTATTAAATTTATAAAATATAAATCATTTCATAATTTGATTCATAATCACAGTAGACATAAACTGAGTATCTCCATTGTTCTACCTGCTGAATGGGATCATTCTGCAATGGGCCTGAGTTCTTAATTCTTTTCTCTGGTTAATTCTGTGTAGTAAAAGAAAGCAGAACTTGAAGGCACCTAGAGATGTGCAAGCATCTGCTTATGTTTTCAAGATGATTTGACTGTACTGTTTCAGCAAAATGAACCTGAGCAGCTACAACTACTTTCCCCCAAAATCCATACTCTTAATGACGAAACCTATCTTTTAATTTAAAAATTAACATGAAATTGAATAATAATACAATACATGGCAACTGTCAAGTAATTAACTTATCTACATTTTAAGATAAAAAAAAACTGTAGGTCACCATAATTGCTCAAAATGATTCCTTTCTTTTAAAGGCACCACATAAGACAGGGTTTGTTTTTTTTTAACCTTCACTCTGAAGGACCCTAAAGTAGACTTTATGTCAACTTACAGGTTTAGTATGGGAGGTGAGTGTATTTGACTGAAGTGCAATCTAGGTTAAGTGAGAAAAGACTTTTCCAAAATGTAGTCATACTAGCAGTATGTCTTATAGTTGAATAATTACTGGCAGTGTACTTATTTTTAATATTAAAAAGCTTTAACTCAGATGAAGCTGTTGCTTAAACTTTTAATGTCTAAGCCATCCATTGTTTTAACCCATTCATTTCTAAATGAGTGCTAAACTCATGTGACTTTTTATAGATGAAAACAGATTAGCATAAAAGGAAGGAAAAAAGCTCTTGGTAAAGGTTGTAAAGTGACCCTTCTGCTTGATAACAAGAGCACGAATAAGTCACATCTACGTGAGCTGTAAGCTGAGTGGGAGCAGCTGATGTGAAGGTCCCCGTGAGTGAACCTAAGTCTGAACTGGAATTGTGACAGCTTGTATCACGCGTCCACTAGGTTGCCTGATATCTCTGGAGTATGAATGAGGAAGTCTGAAACACAGCTTTGGGTTATTTTTTATTATTACTATCCATTCTTTTAACATGTACTTGTTTGAACCAACCAATGTTTTCAGGTTATTTTCTCTTTGCCTTTGAAAAGTCATGACCCCATTAAATTCAATAAAAAGGAAAATAGAATGAAAAGTCCTGATATCTTCCTCTGTTTTCTTCCCTTGACGTTTTTTTTAAAATTCATTCTAATAGATTAAAATAACAATAAAAATACTAGTAAGGATCAGGATTTGTAAATGATTATACAGAGGACTATACACATAATCACTGTATCTCTGGAGATTATTATGAAGATGGATTTGAGTATCAAGAAGGAAGTTGATTCTTCAAACCCATTTAGCAAATTGGGTTAACAGATTTTTCATAATATTTTTGAAAACCTTGATGAAAAGAATCTAAATTATTAGCAGCTTTTAAATGATGCTTTAGAAACAACTAGCCATATTTCTTGAATGGTACTGTAATGTGCATAATGTTTATTGATGGTATTGAGATAGGAAAATTATTGAATTCTTGCCCAAGGCCAAAGTTGGCAATAATGCATATAGGATGCTTGTACCAAGTAGAGTAAGAGGCTCCAGATGGCATTTAATTTGAGTAGTTAAATCTACTACATTTGCCCACAAAAACACATTAATCTGCATGAAATTTGTACAGGTTTCCTTTGGAGCCTCATTGCTACAGTTGAGGGAGATTTTGGTGAGGCCTCAAAGCTTTGGGGACGAACAGACCTGGAAGTTGAATCACGATTTTGTTCCTTGCTAGCTGAGCTACATTAGAGATTAGACAAACTTTTTTACTTTCAAGTTCCTTAGCATAAGATGGACACAGTATCTATTTTGAAAGGTCAAGGCAGGAGTTTGAAGGAATAAAATAGCTAACTAATAAATAGTGCCTGACAAAGTAGGCACAATACCTGTTGTTGGTATTATTATTTGAGGTTCAGGCCAAACTTCACTGGTTTCTTACTTGGCTTAAATATTTTCTTTTTTAATCATTCAGTTGTAATTTATGCTCGGCATTTTAAGTTTCATGGATTTTCTTAACGTAATTAGTAAATAGCTGTCTTTAATGTGTATTTCTATATTATAAAAGTACTTAAATTATATTTACTGATTTTTGGTATAATATAAACACATACACATTTTGAAGTTCTAATTAGAAGTTAAGTCTTTTCTTAAATTCCAGTTACAGAATTCCAGACACAAGAGCCAGGTACTTTTTTTTCCCCTCTAAAACTTAAAACACAGTTCCTATTAATTTGTAGAATATGTGAAACATAATCTGGGATTGGTGGACACATTTCCATCCTTTTGTACAGATTTTGCAAACCTAAAATATCCTTTTAGGTGTTTATAATGCAGAGCAGTTTGACGGTTTTTCGTTACCTTCTCTTATGGAAAGTCAGTTGAGGATTCAAGGAGGGCAGGCACAGAGTCTATGCCTCAGGGTTTTCAAGGATTATGCCACAGAACCATATAACTTTATCTACTTGTGTAAATGCAGTAATGTTTGAAGGAGGAAACAAAATCATTTTTATTTTCCATCAGAATATACACTGTAAAACATTTTTTTCCTCCTAATTTTGGGGCAATTCTTTGTCTTACCATTGCTGGAAGCTCCTGTGTTTCAAGCTAAAAATCTGTCTTGAAATTAGCATTCAAGCATCCTTCTGAGAGACTTTTGTCTTTAGTTCGTTCCAGATGTATTGTATATAGGCCAACTTTGCAAATGTGGTCATTGCTTCTTTATGGAACTTATTTTGTCTATTTGTTTTTTAAGCAATATCCCTATCATGTTTCTGTTGCCTGTAAATTAAATTGCTTTTCTGGGGAGATTTTTCTTAGTGTTTTCATTGTCTGCTCCCCCTGCTGCTTTTTAATAGTCAGTGCATATATAACGCCCATGTACTAGAGCTTTCTGTGATGTTGATACATTTTCTTCTGGAAAAGAGAGGTAGTGGAACGAATATAGGATGTTCATAGAAGTAGCTAAATCTTAAGATATTTCAGCATTACATGAATATAACAGAACAGAAAGAAATGTTTAATTTTTTCTAAGAAGGAAGCTGAGGAACAAATAGCAAGTAATGATCATTTTCTACATCAAAATATTGAAATTTATTGACATAGTCATAAGAGAATTGTTAAGAATTAATAAAGATGCCTAAAGAAAAACTTTAAATTTTAAAAGAAGGTATTTCCTTTAACTATAGAAACTCGACTTGCTGATGTTTTGAATTTGCTATCTGCATTTTCATTTACTTATAAAAGTAGACTTGGCAAAGGTTAATATAGTTCACATGTGTGCCATAGTTATTATGAAAGATTGGGAATGCTTGTTTATGATTAACGTAGGAAAAAATACTTTGTTTTATTTTAAGTAATAATAGAAAGATGGAACCACTTTTAACAGAAATTTTCTGTTTCATTGAATAGTAAAGCCCTTGACTTTAATAAAACACTATGGAATAAAACAAATCTTAAGTCTTCTCTATTACCTTCAACTCAGTACATGTATCAATCCATATTTTGTAGCAGTAAACTTAAATATCTCTAACATTTAATTATCAAAAACTTCTAATATTTTGATTAAAAAAATTAGTCATTATTAAGGAAATTGCTCTCCATTTATTACATTTTGATTTAATTGCAGGA